ATATATATATATATGTTTCCAAATCAAAAGGAATTTTACCATTTTACAAAAAATAAAGATCTTTGTTCCTTTCTAGGGTATCAGCAGCCTCTTCAGTTCCTTAAAAGTGGTGCGACTCCTGAGATTGGGTCGTGTGGCCAGGAAGTTGGACCATTATCTGGAATATGGCGCTGCAGTGTTGGTGCTCCTGGTTTGTGTCTTTGGATTAGTAGCCCACTGGCTTGCGTGCATCTGGTATAGCATTGGGGACTATGAAGTTATCGACGAGATCACGAATACCCTCAAGAATGACAGCTGGCTCTGCCAATTGGCAGAGAGTATTGGAACACCGTATCGGTACAACGCTACTGGATCAGGGCAGTGGGAAGGCGGACCCAGTAAAGATTCACTTTATATAACTTCTCTCTACTTTACCATGACAAGCCTTACGACAATAGGATTTGGAAACATAGCTCCAACCACTGATGGAGAGAAGATTTTCTCTGTGGCCATGATGATGGTTGGATGTAAGTAAATGGTTTTTGCATTTGTTTGAGGTTGTATTTATATCTGCTGGCCCAGGGATTGATGTTTTCATATTATCACAACAAAGTCACAAAAATGAATATATCATCATATCGATATAAAATCAAAGGAAGAGTAGCATGCATGGGGTTACTGGATGTCAGGCAAAAGGAGGACAAGTCTTACTTTTTATCCTCATGTCCTTCATTTGGCAGGCCCAACCTTAACATCAAATATTATCCAGTTTTTTTCAGTGTCTTGCAGTTTGTTTTTGTTTTTGTTTTGGAGAGGGGAGGACTGTTTTTACAACAATAGTCATTCAAACTTGTGTGTATTATAACCTTGTAAATTGTCCGCTTCTTCCTTTTCTTTTCTTTTGTCTATCAGATGACACAATAGCTTGGATTTATATTATTTAATGTATTTCTTGATTCTAACAATTGACTTCAAGCTCCTTCAAATCCATGACTGCTATAATTTGTAGATCACATAACTGCTCATGTTGTTTCTATAGTGAAATTTTAAAAGTGTGTTGTCAATTCTATATTATTGCTAGCATATATCCACCAGCATATATCCAGGAATGCTGGCTGGCAGTCAAATGCCACAATCCCAACTCCTTAATCTCTATCCACACTGACACTAAACAGCACCAACTAGATTGGAGTAACCCAAACATCATTGGCCACGCTACCACCTACCATGCCCATGAGTTGATTGAAGTCTGGCATTCCACAAGCAATTCCATGAACAGACACATTGACCTACATCCAGCCTATGAACCCCTCAAAATCCAACCATTCAACACAGCCAACCAGAAATAGCACCAACCTTCAACCAACCCATGCAACCCCCCCGCAACCAGCATTTCACTTCCCAATGACCCTCACCTGATGTAACCTCCCCTTGTAAGACCCATCACAAGACTCCCACTGATGACTCCCACATGACCCATCACAAGTCCCTCACTTGACACACCCTCACCTGACACATCACAAGACCTACTGACAAAGCCCTTATAAACAGAAGAACAGTGACACCACCTAAATCTCTGCTGAAGATGTTACCTTGCCTGGTAATGAAACATTCAGAAACCAACCCACAAGCTTGGAGAATGAACCTTCATGCTCACTAGCATATATTCTTCAAAATAAAGATTTGTTGGAAAATTTTTGTTACAGTATATTTACTTACAGTATACAGTACTGCAATTGAAAAACCAGTATTTCTGATGCTGGAAAACATAATTTTATATGCATGTAGGCCTAAGTACATTTTTGCAATAATAAATTGTATTTTTGTCTTCAAATGGGCAAAGTCACAAAAAGGAATTTATCATATTTGTATAATGATACAGTATATTCTTTTCGAGTAGTTGGGAATCTCTACAAGGTAATTTGTGCATCCAGAAAATGCTTGGAGGGGAGTGAGTTACATACAAATGGGTGTTGTACAGTCGGAAGCAAAATATTTGGGGTTAAATCTCTTGGTAACAGAAGCTGGTTTATATCTGAGCAGGGCAGAATGTGGTCCATTAACACAAATTCCAAAGCAATCTAGCCTAGCTGAAGGAACTGAAGCCCATGGAGATCCACTTCTGTATGGAATCCTGATGGTTCACTTGAGTATGATCTAGAGATAAAGGACCTAGAAGAACTGAAATAATGAAGGGACGCTGAGATGTTCTGCACAGTCACTAAATGAACTGTTGCAAGTCAAAGACTACCTTGCAATGCGAAATGTTCTGTAATTTTCTGCATCTCTAACTCCTGGCCCATTGCAGATAAAACACAGCAATGGGGAAAGTCTGTAGAGTTACCCAGGTTGTCCCAAAAGTGCTTTTTCAGGAGGCAACTGGAAGTCTGGTTGCTCCTGAAAAAGCACCTTTGGGACAGCAATGGGGATCAAGTTTGTCCAACTGGGAAAACCCTGGCAGTGGATTTTCTTTTAACAGAATAACAGAATTGGAAGGGATGTTGGAGGTTCTCTATTCCAACCACCTGCTCATGCAAGAAACTCTATACCATTTCAGACAAACGGTTGTCCATTTTCTGGCAGCACCAAGAATTTCAAAGTGTTTTAGTTCTCTTCTGCTTCTCAGGAAACAAATTTTGTCCACTCAGCCAGTTTGTCCTGTGTGCTATTACCGACTTCCTGTTTCAGTTCTCTTACCCTCTGAAGCAATTGAGATATTTGCCCTGGATTAAGTTAAATATCAGGTATGGAAGCATAGGGTCCACTCCCAAAAATATTGTCTTCATACAAGTACCGTTAGGTTATGAGTCTGCCCCCACCCCCATACAAAACCTTAGCCCATTTAGGCTCAGCTCTTTTGAAGTTCACTATTTATTGGCAGGTTCACTGCTGGAAAAACCTCCTTGTCTTCTATTTCCTCCTCTTCCCTTTCTTCTGGTGATGTTGCTATACAAAATATTTTTTGTAACTATTGTCCTGTTTGCAGCCCTTCCTTTGCATTTTGCTTTTCTCAGTTGAGATCTCAGCTGCGTGGGGAATTAAATTCCATGCTGCAGAGTGGGCATGTATTTGGGCCACTGAAGCTCTTCTGAAAACACAGTGATGAATAAGCCAGCTAAAGACATCTGTTGCCATATAATAAATTGTGCCAAATGCTGATGTAAACATGCCATGTTCGACGCTTGTAAACAAAACTGCGCTGAGAAAAACCTGGTCCCACAATAATTGATTAAGCAGCATTTCTACAATGGAGCAAAACATGTATTCTCTTTTCTCTTATCTCTTCTGTCCTAGCCGTTGGAAGGAATTAAAAGGAGTCTGGCTAGGTCAGATGAAAGGAAGAATTAGCCCTCCTTTGTTTCGTTTTGTTTGTTTGGCCATGTTTGGTCGTGGGGAAGGTTGCTATCTGAAAAAGTTACATGTGAAGTGGAAAGAGGTTTGACCATATTGACGGGGTTATAGAAGTTGTAAGCTGACTCATTTAGACAGTAACAGATGAAGGCTGTTTCTTTATGCCACTGTAGTTATAATTACCAATTTATGAAACCTTATTAATGTACACCATATGCTATGGAATTTCATAAAACAAAATCACCCCAGAGTTTTCCCTCGGGTTTTTAGATAAGAATGATGGCATGGATTCAGTGGATCTCTTCTGTGAACAGAAGGCTTTTTCATTTACAGGAGGGACCATATTCTAGCCAAAATTCCTACTGGAGGAAAAAGTGCGGAACTCTCCTGTGTGACCTCTTACATAATTCCAGATGGTCCCCATTCTCTATAAATAACATTCAGGGAACTTGCAGAAGGAGGAAAAAACTTCCCAGTCTGCACCAAAAACATCTTAGGAATGGATTTGTATTAATGGGAATCCTGAACTAAACCCATTGCTAAAACATGATGGTTTCCAAGCTTTGGAAAATATTCTGAACTAGCTCGATACCTGTGCTTCACTATGAAACTATGTGGTTGGGCTTAGTTTTTTGGGAGGAAAATAAGGGGAAAAATTCTGCCTCTGCCTACCAGCATTTATCGGCATTCATCTGGCTAGCGTCCTGTCAGTGTGTGAGAGATTTGAGGGCTGTCTGGAAACTGAAACGGTATTTGCTGTGTGAGCAAGAAGGAGACAGCAAGGGGCCTGGGCATGGCTTAGCTCAACTGTTCTGTACTAAAGTTGCTACTGTGAAACTAACATTGACACTCCTCTCCTTTGCTTGTGTTTTGCAATTGGGACAGATTTCTTTCCAGGTGGGGAGGTGGAGTAGAACTCCTTAGCATCCAGAGCATGTTAATAATAATATACGAAATACTAATGCTCCGATGGTCATTTTGAAAAATCCTTTCTTAGTGAGCATATAGAAGCCAAGAGGAACATATGTGCCAAATTTCAGGTTTGTAGGCTTTACAGTTCTGGAGATTTTGTGATGATGCGTGAGTGGTATTTCGCTTTTATACATATAGATAGGAATGTTCCAGTGTTTTAAATGTTATTATCCCAAAAGCACTTTTTCCCCCACCCAAGAGGCAACTGGACTTTCTGGTTTTTCTTTGAAGACCTTTCCCTTCTCATCCAAGAAGCTTCTTCAGCACTGACTGGATGGTGGGGAATGGAAGGATCCGAGTTGAAGAAGCTTCTTGGATAAGAAGTGAAAAATCTTCAAAGAAAAACCAGAAAGTCCAATTGCCTCTTGAAAAAAAGGAAGAAAAAGCACCTTTGGGATAACCATGACCTGCATGACAGAGAATCTCCATAGATATTTCAGTTTTATTATTTTAAAAAATGACAATTTATTAACATGAATGAATGTGAACTTTAATATTGTGCTCAGTCCCCTTGATGTCAGCTTCTTGGAAGAGGCAATTTGCGAAGTTTTAGAATAAATGGAATATAGAAGAAACATTCTTCTTAATGAATGCAGGTCAAGCTGCTGTTGAAGAGCTATTGAAACTAAATTGGCAGCATCAGCTTAGATGCCCTAAGCTAGCCTTCTCCAACTTGGTATCTTTACTGGCTGGGAATTCAGGGAGTTTCAGCCCCAGATCCAGAGAGTATCTGTGCATGTTTTGTTGTTTAAATAAAGCAAGGAAGCATAGCTTTAAAGGGTATTTTCAACTTCCCTATTACAAGCTGCTCCTTTATCAGGATTTTTGTATTTTTACAGCATTTGCAGCATTGCAGCAATTTCTTAACACAACCGGGGAACAAAAAATAGTAAAGATACTCCAGGATATAAGCTTGCATTTTAAATAAAGTCTTCTCCAAATATGAATATTTGAACCCCAGAAAGTTTTCTTCCATCCCAATTCATTACTAGGCTCTTCAAAGTGTACCAAAATTTGTTCTCTTTTATTTTTTCCCTCTGTATAGCTTTCTTTTGATTATGGTATATAAATGTCTACTTAGGGTTTTACAGTTTGGGTGACTTTCTGGACATTTAAATTTGCTTTCAAAACACACACACACACACACACACACACACACACACACACACACAGTCTTTCCCTCTCTGACATCACCAACATTAGA